GGATTCAGTTTTGAACTCTACATATTCTCTCCAGAACTGAGAACCAAAGTAAAATAGTGACATTTTCCTGCCTATGTTTAGTTAATTGGTTTTGTCAGGTGTGCATGTGCTCTGCCTACTGCCTGAAATCCCAGTACACAAATGCCCATCCTGCAGCCAGGGGGGAGCTGTTGTCCCCATCCTGCTCCATGTTGCTCGCTTGCACTGTTCTGACCTTGTGTTGAAGGCTGATAAACCCTGCGTAGTGGCCACATTCCAATAAGGAGAGGAAAAAAAAAACCCCTGACCTCCAACCTGCGATACCCTATTAATGTCAAATAATATAAAGTAATATCAGAGTGTAAAAGGAAATCGCCGCAGTAAAGCAATTTAATTTCTGTGAACTGAAAGCACTTGAATGGAAGTGCTGTGGAAATTTGCTGTTGTTCCTGCAGCAGAGGTTATGAGGTGCTTTTTTTTCCCCCCTCTTTTTTTTTTTTTTTTTTTTTTTTTTTGAACTGCTGCATTATAATTGGTGACTTTGAAGCTTTCTGTTGTTTCCAGTGGGAACGATCATGCTGCTAAAGTAGAGAGCTTGCTCTGCTGAGTCTGATTTTCAGGCTTGCCTGTTAAAGGAAAATAATTTCAAATACTAGTTTTCAAAAGGTATTATATTGCTGAATATGCATTATATGCAATATTTAGCCGATGAAATGAGAATAATCCTCTTTGAACAACAACTTGCATTTACTGAACTGGTGTTGGAAGCAGTGCCAGCTGCCTTTGCCTTTGTCTGCCTAATTGCAATTTAACAGTAATCCACGATCTGTGCAACTGTGACTGCAGTTCTTTGATAGATCTGAGTTTGAATGGACCTCTGGTTCATCTGCTGCCAATGATGAAAGCCATTGCACAACAGCATATTGACAATGGACTCAAACTTTTCTCTAACCAGTGGAAAATAAACAAAAAGGAACTTGTATTCCTCCAAAGCTGTCGGGTTTTGCTGTTCCTGTGTTGTGCTGTGCTGGCTGCAGGCTTGCAGTGAGCAGCCATCCACATGTAGGTGCTAAAAGCTTCTGTAGGTTTGGGGCTGGTGCCATATGTTTGTAGGAGAAGTGTCCACTGAGGGCTGTCGGATGCAAAGATCTCCTTGGGCTGACTCAGGAGGTGTGGAAGCAGCAAATTGCTGGTGACAGGGCACGTATAGCAAGAAGTGTTATTTGTGCATGCTCTGTTCCTTTGCACCCTGGGTGTTTGGCATCAGCTGCTTGTCAGGGGTGGGATCTGTGCCTTTGCAGAAGTTTGCTTTGACTTGCTTCAGCCGTTCTTGTTATTTAGTTAAATATGTGACAGTGCACAAGCAGAGTGAAAAGGTTGCTGAAAAGTTGTTGGGCACTTTCTATGTTCTGCTTCTCAGAAAGAAATCAATGCCTGAGTTCACAAGAGAAACCTATTGACAGTCCTGAGCATTTTGATCTTAATTGCTCTGTGCTTGTTCCTGCTGTGAGGAGTATGATAATATTTTGAAGAACATTTGTGAAGGTAAATGAGAGCACTTTGAGCGCTAAGACAGGATGAGGAGAACACCAAAAGGTCTGTGGTAGTTAAATACCATTGAGTGGCTAAATACCATTGGCTCACATTTGGACACATGTTGGGTTGAGTGGTGACTGGTTTCTGGGGAAGAAAATGTCAGGGTACTGCTGGACATGACTGGGCACCTGGTGGAGCTTCACATCCTCAGCTCTGAGGACGCTGCATGCCGTGCACATTAGATGCATGGATGGTGGATGCCCAATCCCTGGGTGCATTCAGTGTCAGGCAGGACCAGGCTCTGAGCAACGTTGTCTAGCTGTAGGTGGCCCTGCTCAGTGCACAGGAGGTAGATAAGATGACCTTTAAAGGTCCCTTCCAACTTAAATGATTGTGTGCTTGTGGAAAAGTGAGGCCAGTTTTGTTTCAGCTGTGTGGAACTGGTCTTCTGAGCTGAGTTCCCCAGCAAAGTGAGATCATGTATATGTTTTGGTACTGAAAGTTGAGTACGTTTCCGTAGAGTACGCTGGGAGCACTTAGCCTGAACGAGATGCAACACAAGTGCCATTTCACAGCACAGTTCTGCTCTATCAGTGTTTTAATTAAAGTCATTCTACTGATGGAAAGTCTATTCTCTGGTGTTTTCTTTAATGTAGTCATAATGCATCAGTTTGAGCTCCCTTGCTGGAACATTTTTCATTATAATCCACTTGGCTAAGTTTATAATTAAACTTCCAAATTCAAACCTGCTTTTATTGTGTTTTTCGGACAGATGAAATTTAAAGCAAGAAAATTTAGGGTTCCTAGGTTTTCCCCCCCACAACTCAATGCAAGTTAAGAAGCAATTCATTGGCAGAATGGTAATTTCATATCCTTGCTTTCAGACCCCAGGATCTTCTCTAGTTTTGAGACAAGAAACAGGTATGACTGAATAGAAGAAAAAAGACGAAATAATTAAGATTTGTGCAGTTTGACTTTGGAGGCCACCAAAATACCTGGGCTGGTGAATACAGCCGATTAAAATCGTGCCTACCTACAAAGATTTTCATAATTAGATGTTAAGAAATGTTGTTCTAGGGACCTGCTGGACCATGAGACTGTCTGGAGCAGGAGAAGCTTCTCCTCATTTGAGTTGGAAGGGACCTTTAAAAGTTGTCTGATCCAAACTTTCTGCTATGAACAGAGTCAGCTCCACCTCTGTCATGTGCTCAGAGCCCCATCCAGCCTGACCTTGAGTGTCTTTATGGACGAGGCATCCACCATTTCTCTGGGCAATGTGTGCTAGTGCTTTATTAAAAAAGACTGCTGCTCTGCCGTTGCTGCTGCAGACCCATCTTTCTGCTCGTTTGGGAGATAACAGAGTTAGCTCTTTGGATAACAGTTTTCCCACAAAGCAGGGCAGATTTCACTGCTATCTGAGGATATAGGGTAGAGTGGAAACGTCCATGTTACCTAGGGATATCATAAGGAGTGGGTTTGTGATGTGCATGCTAAGAAAATGGTTATGTAATTACTGCTTACGTTGACGTTAAGAAAATTTATGCATGATTAATGATGCTTATCTTTGTGGTAGACATCTACTAAATGATTTATAGCCAGCTAGAAGGGCTGCAGTTTCTTCTGTTGTTGCTGCTGCTTAGTGTTTGGGATGATTCTAATTGCATCATATATTTTAAATGGAGAGTGCCACCCAGGTGTCCGTGTAAGCATTTCCATCTCAGACGGATATAAGTAGGTCAGATTTACCTGTGGTGGGGGAAGGTCATGGCTCCCAGTGAACATGGGGAATTTAATTGGTGTATGACAAGGCTGAAATCGCTTCTCTGGTTTGGATCAGTTCAGATTGATCATTTTCTAAGTTCAGTTACAAATACTGTATGAGTCCACATTAGTGCAGTGCCAGACTGCATTTTCCTGAACCAGTGAAATGCTGCAGGGTGTGTGGAGAAACATCTGTCCTGGGGAAGCTGCAGGAACACAGCTGCTCCCTGCTCCACAGCACAGTGTGTGCAGATGGGGAGTAAGAATAGGGCCTGCAATCTGACTTGGAGTCATCTGCCTCCGAGCACTCCTCCGGAGCTGGCGGCTGTCTGACAGTGGCTGGGAGGCAGGAGCAGCTGCAGAGCTCCTTCCATCTCCAGATAAGCAGGGATAAAGCCAGGATACTTCCCTGATGTATGACAGGCTGCGCAGAGAAGTGTGGAGTCTCTTTCTCTGGAGGTATCTAAGACCTGTCTGGATGCCTACATACTGTAGGAGCCTGCTTTACCATTAGGGCTGACCTAGATGATCTCTGGTGGTCCCTTCCAGCTATTACAACGGATGGACCTTATCTGATTTTTTTTTTTTTTTTTTTTTCTGAGCATAATTCCATATGAACCAAACAAAACTAAAGGGATGCTTGTGATTAACCCTTCAAACACACAAAAACAGTGGGTCGTTATTTAGTTTTATGATCTATTAGCGCAGACAATCTCTGAGTCGGAGTGCTAGGATGTTGAATACACCTATGTGATCAGTTTTGGAGAAGAACTACGTGTTTCACTGTGAAACACATCTCAAACTTATTTAAGCAGCTGCATGAATTTAATCTTGAGAAGGCTCAGTAGAGTCAGTCCTAAAAATGTAAGTTTCAGGTTTTTCCCCTTTCCAGTTTTTTCCCCTCTATCTTTGTCAGTTTAAGCTGGCCATGCTGACACATGTGGGAGCAGAGATATACTGTGACTAAATTTGATGCGAAGTCTTGGTGGCCTTCATAATGTAACTTATTCATGTCTCTGTAGATAGCATATGTTGCCTGTGCAATATTTTTTTATCATATCAGGACAGAGCAGCCACTGTTCCAAATTGTGTTATGTGAACCTAGCTATGCAGAAAATCTTCATTGTGCTTACTGTGGTGTGAATCAGTGGGCTTTGCTCAGCCCTGCTGGGGTAGGAGAGATTAGAATCAGTCTCGTAGTGTCTAATTTATTTCTGGTTTTTCAGACTTAATGTCAACTCTGTTCTTGCTCCATGGGGAGCAGCAGCCAGTTATCTTTGTAGGCTTGCTCGAAGAATGAACATATGTGAAACCCCTTGTTTCGGGCAGGAGTCTGCTGCTCTCAGGGATTTACTGGGGCTTGCTGTCCCTATGAATGCTGAGAAGATGACAGTATGTTTAGGAAGCAGCTGATTAGCACTCCTTGTGCTTCGTTAAAAACCTCAGCATCATTGTCAGCTGATGGGGGAAGTTTCCTTGCACTTGTCCATTTGTGGCCCTGACCTGTTCAGGACACGTTGTTTTTACTGCATTCTTCAGCAGCTGGAGTGCTGCCCAGCAAATTCAGATGAGCACGGTCTACACAGGGCTGGGTGCTGGCTCTGGTCCAGTACTGAAATCTGAGCGTCTGAATAATTTCTTTGCTTGTATTGCATTTTTGGGTGTGAACTGTGTTGGAGCCAGTATCGCTTACTCCTTCTCTTTCTCTTGACAGGAGGTTGGTGACTCTGTTCTGACCCCGCGTACGTGGTGATGCAATGCTGACAGCACTGGGGGAGCTGCTCCTCCTCAGCTCTTCTGTGTGAGGTGAGCACCCATCTGGATGGGCAAAAAAATTAACCGTAGGATATGTGAAGGCCCTTCTCTCTTATACAGCTTCTTTGCTGTATTGGCACTGGGGTAATGTTGTTCCATTGAGGTATGAGCCTTCTGCATCTCAATTCTGAAGGATTCTCAAGGTTTCTGGGCCTCACTTGGGTTTTGTATGAAGCTAACTGTGGTCTGTGTTGGGACTCAATGGGCTGCATTCTGAATCCAACGTGAAATGCTGAATTAATATAGCAGACATTAGAAAAGCAATAAGCCTGGTAATGTTGCCTGAGTTGTTGTATTTGGTCAGCTTGATGGCCTTATTGTTTGCTGTTTGTCTGAAATGTAAGAATGAACTAAACCAGATAACGGAACATTGTATCCACTCTTGTAGCTAGTCAATATCTGATTATATATAATTGCATGAATTTATCATGATAGAAACTGTTTCAAAGTAATTTAAATGCAGCTTGAAATGACAGTCTATTCAGAATGTACTATTTTTGGGTTTATCTTCAGTTTCTTATCAAGAACAATGCTGTGTATTATGCATTATGACAATGTTGCTTTTCAAAAGGTTAAAAACGTAATGGAATTTTCTGGACTAAACTTCTAATAACGATAATTTTAATGAAAATCACCAAGATTATGGCAGTGGAGACCAATCTTGAAGACAGGTGTTATCTCTCTGCTTCTTTCAATATAGATGTGGCATTTCTACCTGTAAAGGCAGGATAAATCAATTACAAGTAAAAATATATTAAGAATTTAAACATGATATAAATACAAAAAAGTGTTACATAAGAAAAAATTGATGTAAATTTACTCCAGAAACCTGATCTTGTTTAATGTGGTGTGTACCATGTGCCAGGCTTTTTTTGGGGTGTCAGAACTATTCCTGTTTGAAAGTGGATTAATCCAAAGTACCTCCCAAGTCATACAAAACAAAATATCTGCCTAAATCAGTGCCTAGCTGATTGTCTTGTGGCTTGAGAGAAATGTTGAACATTGAATCAGAAGTTGTGGGATTTGTGTGCCTTTCTTATTCTCCCGTGTTTTAGAGCTTGTCCAGTATTTGTAAGCAATTTGGATGGTCACTGAGGCAGGCATTTAGAAGTTGGGCTCCTGCTTTGTGTGAGATCCAGAGACTCTGCCAGAAACTTTATTCCTTGCTTCTGATGTTATACAATGATTATTTTAATTAATTATACCGTGTGAAATTGCTAAATCTCCAGGATTTGGTACATTCCAGTCGCAGTGTGGCTTTTCTGTTCACCTGAAGTGGTGAAGAGCTTCATCAGGGAAGCCTCCAGAGTATTTGGATGTTGCTCTGGAGCTCAGAGATCAGGGTCACAAATGCAAGGCCCAAATTGTGGAGAAAAGCCTCAGTAATGTCAATTTTTCTCTTCCAGGCTGCTCCATCAGGTAGTGATAAGCAGTGTCTCTCTTCCTTGCCTTTCCTGCTGTGTTTTGCATGTTACTTTTGTGTCTCTTGTGTTAATACATGCTGTGAAGCTAAAGCAATTTCAGATTTGGTGTATCAGTTGTCAGTGACCTTAAAACATAGGACATGGAGTCTGTAGTGTCAGACTGTTATTGGGTTCCTTGCCATTTATTTGCAGTGGCACATTTCTTAAATTCTTAAGAACATTTAGAAACTTCTTTTTTCTATTTGTTAATTTTAGGACTGAAGAAGACAAGAGACTGAATTATCTGAATTATGCTTCTGCAACAGAACTGGGTTTCTTCTCGTTGGACATGGCAGAGCCTGGGGAAGTCTTTCATTTTTTTTGTTTTCTTGATGTTGCAAGCAGCTGATCTGGAAGCCAGGAGAGGTCACCAGTTTGTCTGGAAAACAGGTAGGAATGAGATGTATTGGTTTATCTACTAGATATTTCCTGAGTTTGAGAATGGAGCGCTGCTTCCTCCATGTTGTTTTAGGTTAGTAGGAAATGGCATGTGAGACCTTTGGATAGCTTTGTGTACGCACTGATATTTGTGATTTAGTGATAGGGGAAAGGCAAATACAAGGTGGTAAGATGCAAATGCGTAAAAACTAAGCATGGCACCTGGTTTTGTAGCATGACAAAGCAACAAAGAATGTTCAATGAAATGTAAACGTTGGCAAGGTCAGTAAATATTTAGTCAAAGAAAATACCCATCAGAAACACACAACTGAGCCAGGGGCTTCAATGCCCACAGTACTTTTGAGATTTGGCCTTTTATGAGTGATTAAACTTGATGGGAAAAGTAATTTTCCCTTTTGTTTTTGAGAAATTTTTAATGCTTATTTTTTAAATTGAAGCTCTATATAAGCGAAGAGGTTGAATTAGCTGCATAATGAAGTGATTACTCTGGGATAGTTCCTGTGCTTCTGGTTGGATCGAAGCAAGCTTTCCTGGCCACTGATTAAATACTGCTTGAGTACAATGTGATTCTACATTTTTGAATAATTTTTTCCATTGTCTTGCTTGTAAAATGAAGAGGAAATAACCAACAATATGAGCCATCTTCCTCTATTTTTGTATTATATACATGATTCCTGAACAAAATTTGAAAGCCCAAGTTGTTTTCATGAGACAAGTCTTCAGTGCAGTTTAACTTCTAAAGTGTGTTGTACCGTCAGCATTTAGAGGTGTGCCCTGTGAGTCATAAAAATTTAATTTGAGCTGATGATTACAGCTGACAGTAAAGCGTTATTGGTGCTTCAAAGACTCAGGCAGCAGTAGTTAGAAGCGCCAACAGGCGATGGCACAAATTTGCATGGACAGTGTGCTCTGAAAGCCTGTGATGAGAGTTCATCCAGTGCTGAGCTTGTGATAAACGTTCCAGGATAGAAGAAAGCTGTGTCGGTTATCATGGTCTCACAGGGAAGCAGAAATATTGGAGATCTTCAGAGTAAATTTATAAGGCTTAAATCATATCGCTACTTGGCTGTACTGTCATTGTGGATGGTTAGAGGTAGAAAACTTCTTTGTGTGTAATGTCTTCAGAATGAAAATACACGTTTATATTATGTAAGTCTAGTAGGGTGTTTTTGTACTTTTCCCCCCTAGACAGAGTTAATCATAAAGATCTATTGTTCTTTCAAAAGTTTGCAAGGAAGTGTTTCGGGAAAGTCAGAGAGTAACTTTAATGGATCAGATCCAGAGTCAGAGAGGTTAACAAAGCCTGTTACAGCAGGATATCGCTAATAAAAGAACCCTGGGATTTAGACAATCAAGTTCTTGGCCTAATGAGATTTGTGGTGCATATAATAGAAAAAAATAATGCTCTAGTTTGAGGGCTTGTGTCCCCGATATTTAAAAAATGGAGTAAAATAAAAGCACAGCGCACCTATAACTGGGTAATTTTAATGTCAAAACTGAGCAGATTCTTTCTGATAGCAAGCAAACCTGTAGCTGCTATCTCTTCTTAATGAAAGGTTCTAATGAGCAATCCCTAAGGGGGAAAGAGATAAACTGTTTTAAAATCTTGAGTTATCTTTTGCAAGCATGGCAAGTTATTCTACAAGTTGTAGAGATCATGTTAGTGAAAGCTTTCACCCCAGGAATATGAATTTCTGTGTACTGTATTAATGAAGAAAAGGGAAAGGAAAAGGTGTTGTGTTAGTACTGAAGTTTATAAACCAATCCTTTTTTTTTTTTTTTTTTTTTTTTTTTTTTAAACCTAAATCCTTGGCTGTCTCTAATGAAGACTCATGCATTTTCATGCTGGGATTGATGGGCTTGGTATAGGCGAAAGCAATTGTATTGAAATCATTGCATGTACAAAAAACAAAATCAAAAGCTCAGGGTCAGTATATTTTCAAGTTTCAGAACTTGGTAGTGTGCATTTTCTTTCTTTGCGACCTGTCTTGAAACCATTTATTTTCAGCTCTTGGTTTCTAGAGATGATATAATATTATATCTAAATATCTCTACACTGTGTTTTTTCTTTCAAGACATTTCTTGTCAGATACTGATTTTTGTGACCGTCAGCCTAAGCATGAAAACAATGATTATACCAATTAAATTACTCAACTACCTTAAATAGTGAATAATTTTCTGACGCTTGTTAACTAACAAAGCAGTTTTAGTGATACAATCTTGAGAAAATTTAATTGGATTTAAATCCTTGTAAATTAATATTGTTTAATGGGATACCAAATTAGCAATTAGCATATTTCAGGATGTTAGTTTTGTTCAGCTCTTGGGCCTGAAAACTCTGGAATTGATGTCACGTAAATGGGTTTGTCCTAATGGAGACCAGTGGAGCTTTTAAAACTCTGGATGGAATATGGACATACATGTGAATTTCAAAATGCTGTTGCCAGAGATGCCTGCAGCACTTGTGTTGGCAGCTTGCAGACTCACTTTTGCTACCAATGTCTTGGTTGTCTCAGTTCCTCCATGAACTTACACGTCAGTTACAGTGGATGTGTTGCTTCTCCTGAAATAGTAATAGAAATACTTTTATAGGATGGTAGCGTTTAGATTTTTAGGGAAAAAGTTCTCTAAGGTAAAAATGGAAATAATATTGTGTGGTATGGAAGGAGGAAAAGGACTGTTAGAAACCAGAAATGTCCCAGTGTCTTCCCCATGAATAATTATCTCTGTAGAATGAATCCCAATGGGGATTTAGCCCAGCAGGGACATGCTCCCTTTTATGAATGGGAGAGCACCGAAAGTGAGACATCAGACTGGGAAATGAGTTTGTACAGATCATAGCAGTGAGATTTCACCTGAGGAAGAAACCATTAATCTTTTGGTGTCTGCGGGCTTCTGGGAGGTAGGTGTGGGGAGCTGCACGCTGTATTGCCCCAGGTGAGCACAAAAGACTTTGTTCAGTTGAGAGTTATTGCCTGTATCTGAAAGTGCTTCTAAAAATAGGGCTAGCAAATGGGTTTTGATCATTAGACTTTCTTCTGAAGCAATCCTTAATGGGAAAGATATGAAATGAACTTTGCAGAGAACCATCTTCTAATGTGGAGGAACCTTTGAACTCGGTGGAGGTGGGTGAGCCACTTAGGGCTGAGATGAAAAGGATCTTTTGTTCTCCGTTAGCAGATAATGCTGCCATAAAATACCCTTTCTCAAGATCTTAATTTCAAGAATGCCACGTGCTGGTTTGGAAGTGCCTTTGACCTTGCATGTTAAAAGACAAACTTTTACCTACATGCACAAAATGTTAAAGAAAGTCCACACCTTCAAAGAGATTAAAAGATAGCACTGCAATAAATGGCATTTTTTTTTTTCCAATGGAAGAATTGGAAATTTAGCCTGTTTAACGAAATCATGAAAGATTCTGAAGTTCTTGCTGTCTGCAGTTCTTGGCTATCAGCAGCAATCCTCTTTGGTAATAGATTACAATTGTATCATCTCAGCAGCAGGTTCAATTCTAAAACTAGTCAGCTTGTTGCCATAAATTGGGTAATTGAAAAATTGCCCTGAAATTATGTGCTTTATTAATTTTACACTTAACTTTATTCATGATCAGATTACACCTTTGTACTTCAGACAGATTATAATTCAAGTAACCCTTCTTACGGTAGTTGCTTCTAATGTATTTGCAAATTAAAGATACCAAGCCATTCTGGACTCCTGCTATTAGTCATATCCTCTTTGAGCTGGCTTGTCAAACTAATCTTTTCTAAATGTTTTGCTTAGAATTATATCAAATCTCAGGTAAGACTTCACCCACTGACATACTGCAATTCTAATTAGAAGTGCAAAATGTTCTCAAGTCGATGATAGTTGAAACTTTGTAAATAAAGTTGTTTTGCAAAATTTTGCTTACAGCAAAATGTAGTATTCTGGCTGATATTTGTCACTGTTATTTCAGAGGCTTTAAGGATGGCCTCAAAACTCATGGTGTATTTCCTTAAAAAGGAATGCAGTATTTTTGTATTGCTAAATATTTAGATTTAAGTCCTTGTTATTCTTTTTCTTATTAGTATTTTTTTACTTATCTCTTCCATGCACATCTAAATTTCATTGCATAGTGTTCTGCTATGTCCCCTCACCCTTATTTCAGTGCTGTTCTAACCTGGCATTTCTTCAGCAGCTGAATCATCCAGTCTTGGGGCTATGGAGATGCATCTCATTGCCTTCCTCCGTAAACTTTGCAATGATGGTTTAAATATTTATGTGGATGACACATTTCAGAACTGTTGCAGACCTTGTGTCTTCAGGCAGTAAATACTAGTGTGTTTGCCAGAGAACTGGACAGAGTCCCTGAGAAGAGCTGGATCTCTCCTGCAGATGATCTCCCACGCTAGAAGCCCATCTGTAGGGAGTCAACCACCAGCAAAGTGTTCCTGGTGGCACTGCTTAGCAGAAGTGTCTCTCACTTCTGTAATTCTAGAAAAATGCACATTGCAAGCAATATGGGAAGTGTGAAGTGTCAGTCAAATTAAGAAGTTGAGGTAGGGAGGAATTAAACTGAAACTGAAACATCTGTTAATTTTAACACTTCATACTGTTGGAGGAAAATCTGCAGTGTGATAGCTGCTCCATGAGATAAGCACTGTGCAGTGACCCAGATGGACGACTGTGCTTGCTGGGTTCAAATATGAGCTTTTACAGCTTGTTTGGTAAGTTTCTGATTGTCAGGCTTGCCCTACATAGGTCACTCAGAAAGTAACGTCTTCTCTTTATTTGCATGGAAGCCACAACGGATACAAAGAGCACAACAACATTGTTTTTTAGCATAGTTACCACCATTAGCTCTGTGTTTTCACCAGCGATGAACAGGAGCCTGTATGCCATGCCTGTAAAAATCTGCACCAATAGAGGTGACCCACTGTTTCACAGCTGCTGTGATGGTATCCTTACTGGGAAAACGTTGTCCATGCTGTCCGTTCTTCATTGACCTGAAC